CTTGTAATTACTTGAAGATGATGAGGGTGAGAGAGTAAATATGTTATTTTCGAAACCAAAAAAAAAAAAAAATTTGATGGCATTTTCGTGAATTATATGAACTTGTGGGGTGAATTGGGCAAAATAAAGTTCCAAAAAAAAGGGAGGTTAGTTTTGTGGTTGACTTCAAGTTTCAGGTCAATTCTGCAAAAAGCCCATATATATATACCCAGTGACTAGCATGCCTACATAACCCACAACAAAACCGAGAGTTCTGTCTTTTGGTGGTGTGTCGTCCCTCAAATTTACACTTTCCACAATCTAGAAATGTACCATTACTAATTGGCAAGACCCTCCTCATTCCTGAGTCTCTACCTCTTTGGTGTGTGATGCATCATAACCATATTTAAGCCATCGTATAGGCTACATCCATTTATATCCAAGCAATATAATAATTGTGTTGAGTCAATCTTGTTGGATTTGGATTGTTTTGTTTCTTGACAGAATATATAAATTGAATGTTAGATTTGAATTGTTCACTTAGTTAAACTGTTTTTGTGTTTAGCTATATACATTCATTTATGCCTTCTTATAGGATATATATATTCACAGAAAAGATTAGTAACAATCAGACCATCCATGTTATGGACAATCATGGTTAAGAACTTAAGATAATCTGAATACTGGAATCAAAATTGGTAGATAGATTGTAAATGCACCCATATTGATTGGGCTTTAAATGGACCCGGATCTTCAACTATATAACGGCTAAATAGATGCGTCTCTTTAGGGAAACCAAAAATAGATTGAGATTTTTGTCAGCTGTGAAAACATGAATCTATACTCGAAAAAACATATTCCACATTTGGAAACATATTAAGAAAATTGTTAAGCACCTATTTACTCTCTCACATACAGAAAAAAACTTCTAAAGTTGAGAAACAAAAGAGAGAGGTTTCAGTTATGGCGTGGAGGCCGAGTGGATGGCTTAGGATAATCTGCAAATAAGAGAGGCGCCCGATGATGACGGTTCTTCTTTACGCCAAGCACAAACCGAGAAACTCTAACCGGTTCTTTATATGCCAAACCGGGGACACCATTTTGATCCTAGACCACATGAATACATAAAGAAACTGTTTAGAGAAGGTGAAAGACAGCAAGATGAAGAAGGTAATATTAGAAGCTAATGAATATAAACCACGAACCTTGTTAAGCGAAAACCGAGAATCTCTGATGTGAACGTTGTCAAGGTGACGAGAATCAGACAGATGCAAGAGCAGAAACAAGAGAAGGACTGAAACAGCATGAACTGAGCTCATTGCGTCACAAACAGAAGACGGCCACAACTCACAAGGCTTAACGATTATTCAACGTAGGACTCTTAGTAAGTAGTAGTCACTATATAATATGAGAAAGTTCACGCATAAATATTTGAAAACTCCAAACCAAGAAAAACATAGAATAAAGAAAGTGTTTTTATTTTATTTTATCAATCCAGATGAACGTGCTGGAAGAGCTCATGGGAAAAGCCAAAGACGAGTCAAAGAAGAGAGAATAAAAACAAAAGGAAAAGGACATTTAAACCTCGGTGAAATACGAGTGATTTACTACTTCTTGTCTCGTTTTGATCAGTCTCCAAAACTTACCGACCAACACGGTTAAGCTAGTTTCTAATTGTATCATTATTATATAATAATGTGTGAAAAACTTAAAGCACTATTTGAAGAAATTACTTTAATTACCATAATGTTTTTGGTCTGCCTCGAGAATGGTTTGGAGGTTGACGATGACTATTGTCTGCCTCTTTAACGGATTTAAGTAACACCACTTTTTGAGATTTGACACAATCCACGAGACATCTGGTCTTCAAAAAGTCCTCTTGAATTGCCCAAATCCTGCATGTTTCTAAACAAATATAACACATGTTAGTTACAAAGTAAAAGAGCTTCCACGAACCAAGAACCCAACCAACATCTGAACCAAGAATGTTCCCTGAGAATGTCTTTCCTCAGCTCCACGTAGCCATGAAACCTGCAAACTCAAGCTAATCTAACTGGAACCGAGTAGACAGAGAGGACCCAACTTTAAGGAAACAAACAGCATTTGATTGCACCGGAGAAGACCTATTTGGAACACTGACACACAATATTACATTCTATTGTAAATTTGTTTTTTATTAATTGTAAAATTACACGTTCTTATTCATACAAATGGAGGTAGCATCAGTCCAAAAGTGCATTCACATAAATGTGCTTTTGCTTACAAAATTTCCAAATAAGAGTTTACACTTTTGGGAACACATAATCAGGTTCATTGACATTCCTAATATAGTAGATACTATCACACAACAATTATACTCAATCTTGGTTGGGTTCAAATCCCTCTATTTATCTTCCTCATTTTGATGACTACCACTGCGAACTCCAATTAGATTCAGGTGTAACACTTTTTCGGTGGCAAAAAAAACTTCAAATATATATGGGTCGAGTGAATGAATAGAAATGGATGGAAAAAAACAGTTTTCCTGATTTCAGGATCTAAATCCATGCGTAAATCCTTATTAATTATTGGGTTATAATTGTTATCTGTCTTTTATATTAACATTTGAGGTCAAGGGGGCTATTAGTCTAATTAGTGAACCAGCCTATCCTCTGTATGAGGTTTACACAATGGTTGGAACAAATACTCATGTACCCGACAAGAGTTATTCTACAGCCTCTTCCTCTTGCAAAGTCTGTTGCAAGAACTGACTCTAGATGTGTGTTAATAAGTAAAACAAAACTTAAAGGCAAGGGGGGCGGGGATCATTACTCTTATACAAAAACATCATATCTGGAGAAGATTGTTCACTGCTACAGCAATATAATTTGTTCTTCGCAGGTTCTACAAGAGAAATGAGCTACAGTATGTTTTATACACAAATTGGCATCTCGTAAAGTTCATCACTTACTCCTTTATGTGTTAACAAGTAAATAACAAATGCCATTAGGTTTCAGGCATATTGAATTCATCAGTTTCTTGAATGAAAACTCTGCTTCAGAGATACATATAAACCAATGTTTGGAATTACGCTAGGCACTAGTCAATCAGTTGGCTCAGACCTGACGCCTAGCGAAATAATCGGAAATTAAAGGGGAGCAGAATTTTATATTGTTTAATATGTTATAACACATGTTAATTTTTTTTTTATAAAATTAATACATTTTCATGTGAAAAATTATATAAAACACACAAATATAAAATATAAACTTAATCTGATATACTTTTCATTAAAATTACACAAATAAATTGCATTTATAATATTTTAGATCAAATAAATAAATAATTTTTTTAAAATAAAAAAAATTATTAAGAATAATCTCTTGATTCAAGAAAGAAAATATTTTTCCGCATCCTTCGGAGCAACGGTACGTGTCGATATGCTTCTACTGTGATGTTTTTCCCCTTCTGCTTAATAAGCGAATGGCCACTATTAAACTATCAAGGTTTAAAATTTGGTGGAATTGATCTTTTAGAGTTGGATCTCCCAAAACTTGGTTCTTTTCTCAAGCCACTAATGTGGATAAAAGAAAAGTCAAGTTTTTTCAAAAATCCTCTCTTGTGCTTTAACAGTTTTGTCCCCTAATATTGGATCATTGATGGCAAACATGTGACATGAGTTCTTCTTTCAAGATGGAGATGCTATCTTGTAGCCGTTGCATTACCCTCACTTCCAACATAGAGGGAAAGCAATAGCTCCTTTAGTGATTGGTTCTTCTTGGAACATTGCTATCAGCGATACACAGGTCCATCACTACCAATTCATGTGGCGGCTGGGGGTTTTGCTGGTTAGTAATCCACTATCCGTGTAGAGGCTGCCAATGGAGTCTCTATGACAGGCTGACGCAGCTCTTGTTGGCTTTTCAGCCTCTAGCATGTTTTCTTTGTTCATGCTTTGTTTTGGCACCTATTGGTGTTTTTTATTTTTCTGTTTTCTTATCCCTCTCAATCCTCTGTTATGAGGTGTGTGTGTTGTTAGGGAGGTACTTTGTTCTTTCTGAATTTTAGATTATGAAATAAAATAAGTGTTAAAAAAAAAAAAAAAAAAAANCTTGTTGGCTTTTCAGCCTCTAGCATGTTTTCTTTGTTCATGCTTTGTTTTGGCACCTATTGGTGTTTTTTATTTTTCTGTTTTCTTATCCCTCTCAATCCTCTGTTATGAGGTGTGTGTGTTGTTAGGGAGGTACTTTGTTCTTTCTGAATTTTAGATTATGAAATAAAATAAGTGTTAAAAAAAAAAAAAAAAAAAAATAGAGGATCGAACCATGTTGATTGCTCATGTCTTTCATTATAGTTCTATGATTTAGAGCATCATTTCCTAATAGATCTTTTTGAATTTCATATTCGAAGTTGTGGTGCTGCTGTGCATGCAGCCATTTTTATGGTAGACATACAACAATTTATTATATGTGTCCTAATGTATTGCAATGCCATCATATCACACCTCAACTGGGGATGGTGCTGCTGTTGCCGTCTAACGACCCCCCCCCCCCGGCGGGTATACGCAGCAACAAGAAGAAGAAAAATGATTGAATAGAAGACCTCACGAACATTTGGCGATTTCAGATGTGTCGATATCAGCGATGACTCATAATTTCGATGAATCCTTTCTTCAAACAGAAGAAGTTTATGTAAATCCTTACTTGAAACTTCACTTATCAAATTCCTTTGTGGGTTAGGCGGCTGCCTAGATGACTAGACGGTCATTTAGATGGCTAAATAGTCATGCATGCGGTCTAGACAGACTAAAATCAGACATCTGATTGTTTATGAAGTTCCTGCATTTTTAGAACATGGATATAAACCAAATGATTCTTTTATATTCGATGCATAAAATTAACTAAATAGCCTACCAATTTAACCAGAAATGACGCATGTTCATCACAGTAAACATATATACTGACTCCATCGAATACTTACCTGGAAAATTGGTTCATCATGTACATGTGGAAGGACTTCGATCTCTGATCGTCTTTGCCATGGATTATATACTTGCCATGTTGTTTGGTGAGAGACAGTTCTCACCTGCTCTTCCACCAGCACTAGGACTGGGAGGAACATTTGTAGATGAAATTGATGATTGGGAAGGCGGCCAAAGACCCCAAGGAGCATCATATAGCATTATCTTCCCAAGCAGAAGCAAAAGATTCACCTGAATCCACCACAGTCCGAGGAACTAAAGCCTACAGAAGGATCCGTAACATCAACACCCTTATCTGACCATGTTTGCAACCAGCTTGGATCCAGTCCTGAATGAGAAAAGGTGAACGCCACACCTTAAAAGGAAAATTCCTCTGTTTGGTTAAGCATGGTTGCAAATGAGCACAACGGTTACAACGAATATAACTAATCTTAATCATGTACCTTCAACTACAAGGTCTCAACAGCTACGCTGCATGGCTCAAAAAGTAACAATACGTAGAAAGAAAAAAATCTGTTTTATTGTACATTATTAGGCAAAGCCTTATCTTGCAAGCTTGGCCAAAATTAGGTTTTTATTCTCAAAACGTCCAGAGACGAGCAAGAAGATCAGTCTTAATCACCAGTGCCAACATATGCGCTCTCATATCATACAAGCTCATGCTTTGTACTAAAACATAAAGTTTCACAGCTTTCACTCGAAACTGAATGCACAAGATAGTATCCACGAACAAGGTCTAAAGTTCATATGGCTGTAAGAAATGTTTTATTAACTGAATACGAATTTCAAACATTATTTTTTTAAAAAAAGGAGAGCCAACAACTCGTTTACTGAAAAAAAAAAAGTTCAACAGAATCTAATTAATTTGGATGTGACGAACATTTAAACGCTCATCATCTTTCAACTTAGGGACAACAACTTTCAACACTCCATTCTTCATCTCCGCCTTAATCTCATCAGTCTTGTAAACGTTCTCAGACAACCCTATCCTGCTCGAAAACTTCCCTCCATCTTCTTCTTCTTCTTCATCCCCTTCGCCTTTGATCACAAGTATGTTGTTCTCTTCCAGAGACAGTTTCACATCCTCTCTGCTCAGCCCCGGCATATCGATCCTCAGGTGTAACGCATCGTCTTTCTCTTTCACGTCCCACCTATGAGTTTGGCCCACCTGATCCATGAAACTAATCCCACCCTTGCTCAAGGGCCTCGGGGGATGGAACATGTCTGTAGTGAAATAAATGAAAACCCTAATCAGATCCATAGACAAGTAATTTGATAAAAGAACCAACGCTGATGAATACCTGGGAAGAAATAGTCATCACGGGGAGAAACTGTCCGGTTAGAGAGACGGTTTTCATCGGGACAGTATTCTAGGGTCGTAACTTCGTTGGTGTTGAAGTGGCGCAAGGAAGCCGCTGGACGAACGGAGCGAGGGACGATGGTGGAAGAGAGAAGTCTCCTAAGTGCTAGAGAGGACGCCATTTTTTTTTTGTGTGTAAAAGATAAAATCTATAATCAAATCACCACAAAACTCGATCAGATATTTTTTTTTGTTTGAGTGAAGAGAAAAGCTGTTGAGGAGATTTTATATAGCAAGGAGTACCGGAGAAAGTGGTCGTTCTGTTAGAGGATGGTTCTAGAAGTACGTGGTTCCCAAGTTAAAAAAAAAAAACGCAACGATATTTTCTGCACTTTGCATTCACATAAGACCGGTTACTACCTCCAGAGCACATCATCAGACTGCAACAGGATATTTATTTATCCACAAGGATATCAAACAAATAACAAGTAAATAACAAATGCCATCGGTTCTTGATCAAACTCTGCTTCACAGATAAACATACGCATGTGATTCTTTTTCATTCAACCAGAAATTAAAAACTTACAGTTCAACCAGAAATTAGGCATGTTTATCAAAGTAAATATATATATTATGACTCCATCGAATATTTACCTTTCATCAGGTACATGTTGAAGTACTTACCTAACTGTCTTGGCCAGGGATTATATACTTGCATGTTGTTTGGTAAAAGACAGTTCTCGGAAGAAGTATCACCTGTTCCACCAGCACTAGGAGGAACATTTGTAGACGAATTTGATGATTGAGAAGGCGGAAAAGACCCCAAGATGCCTCATCATCATCTGAATCCACTTCAGTCCAACGGATCTGCAGCTTACAAAAGGACATGCAACATCAACACCCTGATCTGACCTACATTCCTATATGGCATGAGAAGGTGAACGCCACACCTTAAAAAAGAAAATCCCTCTGTTTTGTTAGGCATGGTTGTAAATAAGGGCAACGGATACAACTAATCTTAATCACGTGCCGTCAAGGTCAACAGCTACGCTGCGTGGCTCAAAAAGTAACGATAAGTATAAACAGAAACCCGTTTTGTTGTGCATTATTAGGGGAAACTTTAGGCTGCAAGATTGGTCAAAATTAGGTATTTATTACTCAAAACACCCAAAGAGCTAACAAGAAGATCAGTATTCAATCACTACAACAGAACATGAGTCCACAGGTCTGGATCAAAGATAATCCCTAAACCCTAATAAAACATATATATGGGAACTCTAGACACAAGATCTTCATATAATAGTGCCAACATATGCGGCTCATAACATACTAGACTCCTGCTTTGTACAAAAACATAAAATTACGCAGCTTTTCACTAGAAGTTATGCACATCAGTCATGTGTAGCCTAGACTCATTCATAGACTTAGGTTAACCTGTTTTGACTCCTTTAAGAAAATGTTGGAAAAAATGAATGTCGGGCTCTAAAGATAGAATCTAGGAGGAAAACGCTAGGTTCTTATTTTCAAAAAAAAAAGATTCACAATTGAACAAATGCCAGAACAAAAGCAACAGAAAGAACTAAGACAGATACACACGAAAGTAGGACCAAGGTGTAGAAGAATGAGATGCATTCAATCGTTTCTCTAGCCAAATCTTGAAATATCTACACAACATTTTCAACACATTCAGGGTTTCTAGAAAATAAGAATGCTGCAGCACTTGTTGCTGATCACAAGTCAAGAAAAATCAAAATTACATATGCAACTTGTATGCCATCTCTCTATAGAGTAAGAACAGTAACTAGATTGTTAATAAGATCAGAAACGAGAGAGGCAAAAAAACTCTAATCAACTCGGATGTGGCGAGCGTTGTAATGCTCATCCTCTTTCATCTTGGGAACAACCACTTTCAACACCCCATTCTTCATCTCAACCTTTATCTCACTAGTCTTGTATTCTTTCTCAGGTAATCCTATCCTGCTCAAGAACTTCCGTCCATCTTCTTCTTCAATCTTCTTCTTCATCCACTTCGCCTTTAATCACAAGTGTGTTTGTCCTCCTCCAGAATCAGTTTCACATCCTCTCTGCTCAGCCCCGGCATATCGACCCTCAGGTGTAACGCATCATCCTTCTCTTTCATGTCCCACCCAGGCCCTTGGCCTAACTGATCCACGAATTCAAGCCCACGAAAAAGGTCCTCGTCGTTGTAAACGGATCGAACATGTCTGTGATACAAAATAATAAGATCGGAAACAAACATAGACTTAATTAGATGATCTAACTGAACTGAATCGTGTGGATGAGACAGAAAAAAATAATACCTGCGAAGATGTTAATCTTTTACCAACCGCTTTTGTTACAACGAGTTTAAGAGAAAGAATAAAATGGATGTTACAGGCTTATTTCAGATGGTTACGAAAATGATGTAACTTCTCTGAAATGCTTTTTATTATTGAGATTCTTGTGTTGATGTTACATCGAATGATTGATCTTTATATAGAGATCGAATCATTAGGCTAAGAGACACACCTCTTCGCATCCAGAGTTACATCTCTTCGATGTTACATCTCTTTGTGTAATAAATAACTAACTTATGTAAATGTATCAAGGAGAGATTAGATTATATAGTTTAACACTCCTCCTTAATCATATCTCGACTTAACNCTTCGATGTTACATCTCTTTGTGTAATAAATAACTAACTTATGTAAATGTATCAAGGAGAGATTAGATTATATAGTTTAACACTCCTCCTTAATCATATCTCGACTTAACTCCAAGCTGCTTCCTTAGATCTTCAAATCTTGAACCGCCCAATGCCTTTGTGAGAATGTCTGCGAGCTGATCATCCCCTTTGCAATACTCCAGTTCAATGATTCCCTTTTGCTCAGCTTCCCTCACGAAATGGTACTTGATCTCGATGTGCTTCGTCCTTCTGTGTTCCACCGGATTCTTCCCAATTGCTATTGCTGATTTGTTGTCACATAAGATCGGAATGCCTCCTTCAAACTTCTGACCAAAGTCTTCAAATAGTCGTTGTAACCACACTGCTTGATTTGCTGCTGCACACACGGCTATGTACTCTACTTCAGCTGTTGATTGAGCCACTGTTTGTTGCTTGCTTGACTGCCAACAGAACATGGCTGATCCAAGAGTAAACACATAACCTCAAGTGCTTTTCTTGTCTTCTTTAGAACCACCCCAATCGCTGTCCGAGTAGCCTACAAGTCTTGGTTCTTTCACGCTTGTGAAGTACACTCCATAGTTTGATGTTCCTTTGACTTATCTTAACACCCTTTTGGCTTCTTGGTAGTGCTTCATGCGCGGTGATGACATGTATCTTGAGAGATAGGCGCTTGCATACATCACATCAGGTCTTGATGCGCACAAGTACAAAAGCCCTCCAACGATGCTTCTATACTTAGCCGGATCTCCATACTCCTTGTCATCTTCAACTCCTTTTCCTTGTGGTGTAAGTGGGTTGCTTACACTCTTGCCGTCTCGCATCCCAAACTTGTCTACAAGTTTGTTTGCATACTTTTCTTGTGAAAGAAATATGCCTCCATCGTCTTGAATTACCTCCATTCCAAGAAAGTAGTTCAACAATCCAAGATCCACCATCTCAAATTCTTTCTTCATGTTCTCCTTGAATGTGTTGATGCTTTGGATGTTGCTTCCTGTAATGATTATATCATCCACATATAGACTCACGATCAACACATATCCTCCTTGCTTCATGATGTATAAGGCCGCATCGTTCATACTTCTCGCAAAACCGTATTGAAGGAAGTATGCATCTATCCTTCCATACCATGCCCTTGGGGCTTGCTTTAAACCATATAAAGCTTTGTGTAGCCTTAACACCTTGTGTTCCTTCCCGTGTGTCACATACCCAGGTGGTTGTGTGACATACACTTCTTCC